AGGTATTCAAAGAAGAAGGAATTAGCATGCAAACCTCCAACTTTATTGATTTTGTGATTAAAGCCGATGAGGAGATCAATGTATTCTTAGTTGAGTTTCAATTTGGTAATTTAGGGAAGTTGTACCATATTCAAGAGAGAAAAGTAATATTTTGGGGGATGGACAAAGTATGTTGCAAAGACAATCTAAGCAAGCTGAACAAGACCTCCTAAGTTTTATTCAAAGTGCCATGAATCAATTGTGAAAAAGTCGACCTTGAAACTATAAAGCAAGAATTTAATGAGAAATAACCCATTTTTCTAACCTTTAACACTTTAAATTTGGTTATTGTATGACATGATAATACGGGTGCATTTAGTATATATGCATGTTTTAATTGTTGTTTAGCTAAAAAAGTTTTTGTTATTTTTAGGATCTTCATTTTAACACCACTGCACACAAAAAAAAGACAATTGCAGTTGACCGCGGTCAAACCGCGGCAAACAGGGATAATTTTTGACCTTTTTGCTTTTCTTTATTCTTTTTTTTTTTTACCTTAGTAAAAAAATATGTTTGTTTTTTCTTTTTTTGGTTTTTTAAAGATATATATATATACTCGAAAAAATCTTATTTTTATTATTTATTATTTATTAAAAAAAAATTTTATGTTATAACTAGTTTACAATCATCATTCCAAATTAAAGTAGCATAAACTCATATGTAAGTATATTGGTAATTATTTTTCTTGTTTCTTCTCAGGCAAAATTGAAATATTTTATGAAACGTTCAAGGAAAGGATATTGGAGGAAGATAAAATATTAAGTTTCAAACAAGAAACATTATATACACAATGACTATTTCTAACTATTATTTAAACCTATTTTGTACACACATTGAGGATAGTATGTATTTTAAGTGGGGGAATTAGTTTTATTTACTTGTTAGTGTGATATGTTAAAACCATTTTTTTTTTAAATTTGGGGAAAAATAGTTTAAAATTTTTCTTATTTTAAGTGTGTTTGTTTGAGTTGAACTGCCTTACCGGCTAATTGAAATTAATTGGATTTATTTATGTTTCATGAATTGTGAATAGGTAATGCGATTTATTTTTTCTAATTTAATACTTTTTCATGTTAGATCGTATAATATTGAGCACAATAGACATGATAATTATTATGAATTTTTGGATTGACTATCTTGATATAATCGGTTATATTAATTTTGAACTTAGGTTGATGTACCGAGATTGCCATCAAAAAACTACTTAACCAATCTACAGGAAAAGCTTGGGTGATTGCACTGTTGTAAGAAGATATTGATATGAATGGGAATTTCATGTGTGTAAATTCTTGTATAGATTGTCTAAAATCAATGAGATAAAATTGCGTGAAAACATTGCATTAGCGGTCAATTCTTGAGAATGAGTGTTTAATGAGGGACATTACACTAATCATAAAAAAAAAGATAATAAAACTGTCTCATTGTGAAACATCTTTTTGTAGCAGTTATGATTTGAGTGATTAAGCATATAAGGGTATCTAAACCCTTGTGTCATATAGTTATCTGACTTGGGAATCATCGGTTAAAAGTTCAATACAATAGTCATTTACAAAACTTAACGGAAAGAAGTCATGAAAAAATATTTAAAAAAAATTACTTACTACATGCATTTGTCAAGCTTTGAACACTTATTTGAGAGAATTAGATATTTGAGAATGGGCCTAATTTAGTTTTGGAGGTTGAAGTAATAAAAAATTTAGAGAATCTTTATTCGTTGAGATATTGATTTACAATTGGTGAAATCTCAATCAAACTTGAGAGAAAAAGTTGAGAGAGTGTTATGAAATCAACCTTAGAATGAACACCTTGAGTGATTGAAAAATAAGTTAAGGGGTGTGCATCCCACGATAGAGAAATGAAATATTTGACTATAAAGGGTTGAGATATAGCCAACTTAAATCTCATGATTATTAGATTGACTATGTACACATATATCGATCAAACATTGAATGAGTAAGGAATTAAAGTTATCTGCATTGCTTATGAACTATTTATGAATAATCAAATAATTTCAAATATTTTATATGTAAGTTTGACAAAGTTATTTAAAGCTTTTATGTTTATGTTTGCATGTGTGATAAGTAAATCGTTTTGTTCGGAACGAACACGAGTTTATGTATGGAGGTATTTAATAAGTGGATTTTATGCGCTTATTCGAGCCTCGATTCATGTTTACCTAATTTAGTTTAGATTTGGTTAATTGTAGGTAAAATTTGGATGAAATTGGATTGAAGCTGTACAAATTTGGGGAATCAAGAACCAAAATATCAAGATTTGAAGTAGAGGACAGGTCATGCAAATAAAGAGAAGATGGGACGCACAAGAATTAATGTGGAGGACCAAAGATATCGGCTTTTGTTGGATTCCTAATTACACTCAAATTCCACATTGAAGATACTTTATGACTCCTTTTTATTTTTATAGTTAATAAAGACTTCTATGTATATAGTTTTCATTATTCTTTTTTAAGGGACATACAATTTTAGAGAGAGAGGGAGAAAAATACATAATCATCAAGATCAAACACCAAAAAGTTAAGATTTGAAAACTTTTGAAATTGAAGAAATTCTGGTGTAAGATCAAATTCTTTCCATGATCAAGATTTCAAAACTCGATTATTAACTTTTTATATATATATTTTCTTTCATTAGTATGAGTAGATAAATTATAGTTAGGGCGAACAATATAATTTATATATAGCCCTTTAATTTAATTTTCAAGATTCTAGTTCTTTAATTTTTATGTGTTGATTTTATTTATGAATTTTAATGCTTTGAATTATTTGGTCAATAATTCAATGATATTGGGAATCTATTACGAGTCGAGAGGTAAGTTTTAGGTTTAAACAACATAGTAAAATTCGGAATCTAGTGTAAACGTTTAGAGATACATTTTAGTAAATACGGTCATTACATGGATTCTTAAAAATTTAATGCGTTTAAAGTAAGGTGTATCCAGATTCACATAGATATATGGAATTGACTTAGTTAAATATAATCAATTTGAACTTGAAAAATGTAAATTGAATATGTTAGAAGAATTCGATCACGTAAACATAATTATTGTTATAAAATTTGGTGATTGGGATTAAGAGGATAGTTATGGTTAAATAGAATCAATTTGAACTCGAGAAATGTAAATTGAATGTGTTAGAAGAATTCAATTAGGTAAACATAATTAATTGTTATAAAATTTGATAATTGCGATTAAGAGGATAGTTATGTTGAACTCATGAATCTTTAATACCTAAACCATTATATTAAAAATATCATATTTTATTTTATTTTTTGTTTGTTTAAAATAAAAAATCATAAGAATAAGATAAAAATATTTCTATTTGTTTTCAATCAAACTGAAATTAGGAATAATTTAACTGACGCTTAAATAGTAGTCCTTGTGGGAATGATTATCAGGACTCTTATATTCACTTTATCACTCATTATGATCCGTATATTTGCAGGATATAAAATCGACGACGGTAGCATCCGAGGTAGTTGTTGAATCAGCCAAATCAGCCATGGTGAAGGTATGGATCATTTAGATCTTTGGCTTTGATACCACGTTAGATTTCATTATAAAAATGAAGAATAATTTCTCATTGATTTGAATGAATTATATCTACGCTCTGTAATACATCTAGGATTCGTTTATAATAGGAAGCCAAGCAATTTAGGAATAAAAATAACTATTCTAGGAATGGAATAATTACAATATAATCAACGAGGAAAAAATCTCCCTAAATATTTTTAATTACAATCAATATAATGTGTGGAGGATTAGGTTTTAATTATGTGTTTAGGGAAGAAAATAACTTAGGTTAAAAGAATTTCGGGGAGAGAGACATGGCACACGTGAGGAGCCGGCTACCGGAAAACCTACTAGGCGTTGTTCAATGGCCGACTAAGGACTCTCCGAGAGTTTTTTTTTTTTTTTTTACAGAGAGACATCTACTACATAAGATATATATGTTTCTACATTCGTTTTTTTTTTTTTTTTTCCTCTGTTAGTCTTATAATTTTTACTCTTTAAATATTTTTCTTTATGAAAATGAACTAGACATGCTACAAGTCTACTAGTGCATGCAATGGACATTGTGTCAAATAGTGTAATTGGCATGCTATCATATTTTCTCACATGACCATTGTTAAAATTTGGGTGTGACCCGAATTCCTTGTTGTTGTAATTGAAGAATTCACTTTGAAATGCTATTAGAGTCATATGTCAAGTTGAAATTTTATTTTGAAAGCCAATTGGGATTTAGAATTTGTTTTGAACTCGATTTTTTGGTATCCTACTTCATCAACAACTTTACTAGGAATATTTGGATATCTCATATATGTTCCCTATAAATATTACGTTATTCTATACAATTTTATAATGTAAGAAAAGTGATTACTAGCTTTTACGATCATTGTAATATTTCTCGGTCTTTTTTTTTTTTTTTTGATGCAATAAAATCTCATAATTTCTCTGCCATATTTTCTTGTCTTCTTTTATTCTTTTATTTGTGATCATATACTTCATAGTTTGCCATATAACTTAAATATCTCAATCTAATTGTTGGTTTCATATCAAGTAATATTGAGCGATACGTGATCATTGAATTCCCAACAATTGGTATTAGAGATTTTGGACATAATTAACATAGCAGCCATGTTTTTATTCTTGTAATTTCTTGTTCTCTTCCGTATTTCTACACTCTTGACTCATGTCGACCTGGAAAAGGGGATAGAACATACATATTTTATGTCGTCGAATTCATATATCACAAAATAATTAGCCCAAAAGTATGTCTCTCGGAATACGGAAACAATTATTATATTACTTACATGAACATTCTTTAACCAACAATTCACTTCTAGGGATAATTGATGTCTACATTAAAAGATGCCGACTAAAAAGCAGCAGAGTGTTGGGAGTGAATAATTTGCACTTTAGCAGACATTGTGGGGGTTGTTGAGTTAGTGGTGGCTGGCGGCGGCGGGGCCCTTGTCGAGAAAAGTGGTTGTGACATGTTGACATCGAGGGCACATTGTGAGGGTGGCTGCCGGAAGTTGTTGAGACCTGTGCGGCGGCCCTACTTTCATGCCCCTTAGCTCTTCCACTTCCTTTTTTAGCTTCCTGTTTTGTTCACTTAATGAGCCAAACCATTTCTTTAAATATTCGCATTCCGTTTCTGTTTGCTTCAGCTTGCTCCTGTTTTTTTTCCCCAAAAAAGTTAAATTGTAACGAAAAATTACTAAAACAAAGCAAAAAAGATAAAAAGAAAACATTTAGATGTCACTATGGATAACCATTATTTCAAAATTCTTTTTTTTTTTAACGTACTTATTTTCAATCATACATTTATACAATAAAATATTATGTATTTAAACTCAAAACTTTTTCTTATTTTTAATCAAACATTTTCCAAAACATTACTATTCAAAACTCAATTTTCAACTATGATGCAACTTTCAACATATAAAGTGTAATTCTCCAAGTTGTAATATAAAAGTTAAATAAGACATTAATGTAAAACGAAGAGAACATAATATATTTACTTAATGAATAAGTCGCACAAATACACAAAAAATAAAAAATAAAAATTGTCAAATGCATGCGTTAATTTTATGACTGCATGTAAAAATGCCATTAAACTAATGCAATGAACAACTAATCTATGGATTTCTTACTCGAGCAACATATGGCCTAATTAAAGTTGATTTGATCCATATACTAATTATTCATAATTCACCAAATTTCTCATAAATACATCATAGGTCATTCATTGACTGTTAAGTGATCAGGGAGATGCTATCAAGCCCCATGTCGCCCACACTTAACTCTGGAATTCACCACAAACATTGTTCATTTGGATTTTACGTCGAAGACTCTTACGAGATAGATTTACCCTCATATTCATGTGATCCTCCACATCATTCTCGCCTCCTTAGGAGAATTGAATATAAACGTGTAGCTCGAACCAACTAATGTAAGGTCGAAGAGTCCATATAAGACAAGTCTATACCTTCATATTCATGTGATGCTTTGCATCAATTACCCTTCTATAATTGTTGAAATGGAAATCATAGTCTTGCCTTATCTTATGTATTACAGTTGAAAATGTTTTTATTTCATTTTTATATAACTATAATGTTCAAGTATGGACAATTTTTGAGGTAATCTTTGTGTAATATTAAGTTGTTGATCTCTACCCCTTAATTGCTGTTTGTTTTGGTTTTCCTTTGTGTTTCTAATATTCAAGACACTTATTTGGTAATATGCAAACATCAATATTCTAATATTTCTTCGTCTTAGAGAATGAATAATACTTTGCCCATGTATAATATATGTTATTTAATTCATTTTTTCAAATCTCATTTTAACCATTTTCCAATAAAAAATATTACACATAGATCCATAATTTTTTCTTACTTTTTATTTCTTTTAACAAAATCCATTATCAAAAATTCTACATTAAAGCATACCCTTCTTTAACATATTCTAAGAAAAAAATAGAAACAACCTCTTGCAATAAATGTCCACTACAGAATTGCCAAGCATGCATACCTTTAAACCCTAGTTTACCTATAATCTTATCAATTACTCTATGGTTTTTACAGAAATTGTACCGAATACACACAACACGTGGGTCCCATTATTTTTAACAATATTTAATTTATGTGGGCTCCGTCTTCTCATGTGAGAGAAATTCAAAAATCTGGAAAAATTCTGTCATTTATTTCCTGTACTTGCATCATTTTTCTAATCTTTTCTGGCCCTTAACTTTTTCTCGTAAAAATAATTTGAATACTAGCATTTATGTCCTAGTCACGAATAATATTTTTAAGAGTAATACTATCTAAAATTATTAGTGTTAAAACTCCAATTTAGGTGACACTGACGTGACGATAAATGAGATGTATAATTACATTTTACCTTTTATCGAGTCTATTACATAACACCATTTAAATTGGTGTTATAGTACCAGTGATACTAAAAAGTATTATTCATATTTTTATATTGCTCATATTCATCACGTTTCATTAATAACAAAATGGTGCAAATTTAGGACTAGTCGCATACATTAATCAACTAAATTATAGTTGGATAGAACGTACACAAATTGAACACAAGAAAAAATATTGATAGAGTTACATTAAGGATTATATGATTTTCAGGTAAGTCTCATATTCTACGTCTAAAAATTGGATCAGGAAGGGGTATAAAATCTAATTTGGTGAAGGATTAAACTAGTTGTACAAACTTAGTATATATTAATTAAGTTTGACATTCTATGTGTTATCAAAATCTTTGTTATTAATTGTTTAAAGTATTGTTAATATCAATGAGTAAAAAGTTGTCACCTATGTTAGACTTAATATTAACAAAGATGTACATATAACATTATTGTTCAATGATTACACATGTTTGGCAATGTTTTGATCGTAAGATTTATCTAAGGTAATGATTATGTATATGGTTTATGTTAAGATTTAGAATTCCATCTTAAAAGATCAACCTTATTAAGAAGAGTAGCTCAAACTCTTATAAATTGATCTATATTTTCATTTTTATTCGATGTGAGATTGTATTCCTGAACATGCCCTCGCGAAATAGTAGCTCGTTTGATCACACAGATCTTAAAATTCGTGTGCTCAATTTTTTTGAATCTTAATCAGATCAAATTACTCATTAAAGTTTGGCTCTGATACCATAAGCCTGTTTGCTCTAGATTTTTTCTCAATTTTCAGTAAAATTCTAGCCGTTGGAGCACAAATAACAATGGAACATGTGAGTTGGTGGGTCCCATTCAACGGCTACAATTCTACTAAAAATCTGGAGCAACAGTCTCGTCCCAACAACATAATGAAATGACCACCACCAAATATTTGAGTTTTAACTCAGAAACGGAGTTGGGGGGGGGGGGGCATCCGCCCCCAACATTGTCTGTTGGTCCACTATTCCTAATTAATTTGTAATGTATTCTTCAGTTTCGCCCCGCCCCCCCCGCAAAAATTTTGACTCAGACCCGCAAAATTTTGAAATTTTTTTCCCATTAATAAATATTGATCCAGTAACTTAAACTTTAAAATTCAATCATACAAAAATTTTAGACCTAAATAAAAAATTCAATAGTTACTTAAATACATAAATAAATAGCCAAAATCCAATCCAAAAGCAAATGACCCATTTATGAATCAATTACTCAAAAGCATACCCACATGCCACAGCCCACAAAATGTAATCCCGACTACAGACACTCATCTTATTGACGAGTTTAAGTGACGAGGACAATAAGAAACCAATTTTAGATGTCCAAGTCATCTCTACCATCTATTATATAGATAGGCAGTTTACTTTTTGTCTTTTTGATTTCCATCTAACGTTCATGTTATCTGGGTAAATACAAATTATATTTCCCATTTTGTAAAGAGCACGAACCCAATAAGTTGGGGCTCCTCGAAAAAGGTTAACTTTTTTTTTGTATCGACAAACTAATTGTATTTTTGGTTAGTCAATCTAACTTGCCTATTTTGGTACTCAAAATCGTTGTTTTCAATCTTCTTAGTTAAAAAAAAATTTCGGGGGCTCCACCCCCCGTATTTTCGGCTTCACGAGGTTGAAATTCTAGCTACGTCCCTGTTTTAACTAATATATGTAACAGTCACGTTCAAAATAAAAGATGAGCCAAACCCCGTTCCTAAGTTGTACATTATTGATTTCGGTATTAATAAAACGTGCCACCAACAGTATAGCGAAGTACCTTGCTCTACGGTTCTGAAACCAGACCTCCACTTGCCTTGGCTTTAGCTTTAATTGATCTGCCAAACCCTCCTTTTGTTTCTGCATAACCAAAACATTATAATAATGTTAATTTGCCAGAAGAATCTGGTTAGATGCAATGACACAAGATGCTGTGGCGGGAGGTGATGGGGTGGAAAAGCTGTTATATTATGTCAACCATTATGTCTAATTTTGTGTTCATGTAGTATGATTGAAAACATCATCAGGAACTTCATACGCATACACAGTCCCTGCTCGGAACTCCAAAAGTTTTTTTTTTTTAATGTCAAAAGAGTCCTTTCCCGAATCTTAGAATCAGTAAATAGTATATACTCTTAAAGTTCAATGAAATTATCAGGAAAAAATTAAAAAAAGAAAAAGTGAGGTTGACAGTTTACTTACTGGGTTCAAGGCGTGGTTTAGTTGGAATCTTTGTTCAAGAACACGAGATTGTTCTTTTGTGAGCCGCAGTTTCTTTCTTGGAAGGCCTCCGTATTCTTCTTCCATGCATTCTTCTTTGACTCCTGAAGGTATTTGATTTATATCCAAACCCAAATCTTTCATTGCACTAACACCACCTTCTCCTTCAATCAATGGAGTGTCTATTGGAATTTTATGATTAGAAAAATTTGTCTTAAAAATAAAAATGAACTATTTATAGCATGAAGTAATGAATCATTTGATGATCTTAGTAAAATAAGAAAAATTGAAGAATAAAAGCTATTTGCCTTATGATTGATCATTTTGAAGAACCCTAAAATTAAATATTGGGAAAGATAAAAGAACAATAAATCAGTTTCACATTAAAGAGATTGTTGCTTACCACATGATTGAAGTGATGGAGAAGAAGGAAAGCCCGGCATGGCTATGCTTAACTCCAAACGACTTGATTTGTTAGATAAAATCTCCATATTTAAAACCATATGAATAAGGAAGAAGACAGGGATGAGGACGACGAAATATTTATATATCTAGAGAGGAAGAATTGTTGGGCAGGTGAATTATTAGACAATGGAAAAAGTAAAAGGTAAAGGGAGACAATAGCAAGAAAGAAAATATAGATTAATGAAGAGCAAAAAGTTCAAATTGATATTGGGGGAGTTGTTGGGGCAAATATTTGGCTAATTGATTTTGGAAAGTGGTGAGAAAAATCTTGTGGGGGGTGAATAAGCAGCAGGGGCCCTCTTGTTTGATCCACAGGGTGCATGAGTCGGTTGTCTCGGTTCAGAAGTCAAGTGCTGAAATGATTGGCAAAGTCCTTGAGCCTCCAACTTCAAAATAATGCCGCCAATACACTATGAATGACAATCACTTTTAACATCACGTTTTTTCATTCAGCCATTGTAGTGGTGTCAATGGGCCGGGCCGGATCGGCTCGGCTCGTTGCCATTTGGGCGAGCTCGGCTCGTGCCCGAGGGCGGCTCGCATCGCTTTTTTTTTTTAAACGCTACTAAAGTCTACAACGAAATCTTAAATTTAGTTGGATATAATATATATATATATACACATTTTCTATTTTTTTTAAAATATATATTTTTCAAAACATTTATCGGGGTTCGTCAAAACATTTATAATTTTTAAAATAGTAAATATACATTTATTTAAAAAAAAAAAAAAAGATAAACCCTCCTCCTTTATCCAGGCTTGGGACTGGCTACTTCAATTTCGTGTAGGCGGAGTTAAAATTGTACACGAAAAACTTTTTA